TAAGTCATGGGATTCCCAATTTCCACTGGTTGAATTCTTATACAACAACAGTTATCACACAAGAATCAAGGTTGCTCCTTTCGAGGCTCTTTGTGGCTGTAAATGCATATCGCCTCTATGCTGGGCTGAGGTGGGTGACACCCAACTTGCGAAAGGACATTCATCATACTGCACTTTCAAAGGGACATAGATCATTCAAGAAATGATCGAAAAGATAATCCAAATCAAAGCCCGATTTCAAGCATCGCGAGACCGATAGAAGAGCTATGCTAACAAACGGCGAAAGCCTCGGGAATTCCAGGTCGGATATTGGGTGATATTGAAAGTCTATCCCTATAAAGGAATGATCCTCTTTGGGAAATAGGGAAAATTGATCTTGCTATATATGAGACCGTTCGAGATTCTTGCCCGAATTGGTCCAGTAGCCTATAAGCTGTAGCTACCTTCTGAGCTCAGCAATGTACACCCCGCGTTCCACGTCTCGAATTTAAAAAAGTGGTTAGTGGATGAAACTCTTGTCACTCCTTTAAAAGATATTGAAATAAATAAAAATCTCCTGTTCGTTAAAGAACCAGTCGAGATAATGGATAGGGAAGTGAAGCGTACAAAGCAGAGCCGCATTACGATTGTGAAGGTTCGATGAAAGACTAAGTGTGGTCCAGAATACACATTGGAATGCGAAGACCAGATGAAGCAGAAATACCCTCACCTATTCTCTCATTCATGATCCTACCTTCAAAATAATTTAGGGACGCAATTCCCTCTAACGGGGAGATTGTAACGACCCAAAATTCAAGATCAAAAATTTCTTTTAATAAAACATTACTTTAAGCAAAGTCATCATTCCAAAACATAATCAGAGTATAAGTTTTCAAAACACATGTTCATTATCAGAGTAAACATTCCCAGGCTGTCTATTCAATGGTGTGTGCCATGCGATCACCCCGAGCTCTTCCCTCCGCTACCGGAAGTACCTAAAACCAAAACTGAAAACCGTAAGCACGAAGCTTAGTGAGTTCCCCACCCTACCACATACCATGCATAATCACATACTGCACATACTAGGCCACGCCCACTATCTTGGGCCTCGCCCCCTGCCTCGGGCCTCGCCCGCTACAACGGCCCCGCCGCTCCAGGCCCCGCCTGGCTTCGAACCCCGCTCGGATACAGATCTGTTTCACTTAGGCCCTGTCTGTCCCAGGGCCTCGCCCGCCAACAAGTAATAACACATAAACATATCGCAACACATATGCTAAAATCAAACGATTGATCATGTCCTAAGGCCTCGCCTATCCTGGGCCACGCCCCTGTCCTGCTACTGATGAGCTAGGGAACCCCATCCACGCTCCTACTCGTAGTGAGATACGGGCCCAGCCTACCCTCACTCCTTCCCTAACTTGGGCCTCACCCCTGTTCTGCTACCAGTGAGATATGCAACCCCATCCACATTCTGCTATTGGTGAGATACGGGACCTCGCCCACACTCACCTCCCTACCAGGCACATACATGTATCACACAAACAACAAGTATAAACTATCATGTAAATAAATCCTTTGGCACCCACCCGCTATTAATGGACCTCGTCCTGAATATCATACTAGCATACTGTGCCTAGGGCTAACCCCCGGGTCTTCTACTCATAACTACATGGGCCGACATTGTGGCATTAGACCCATTCACACAAAGGGAAACTCACCTGTACTGGCTGAACTTGGTGATGATCTATTTAGTTGCTGCCTGGCAACTCCTGCTCCCCTTGCTCCCCGAACTACCAATATCAATGCAACACTGAGTCTAACTGACCCCCGAAAGACAACCAAGTCATCCCTGGTCCAAGTCAAAGTCTTGGTCAAGGTCAACCTTCCAGGTCAACCCTACTTGCCGAGTCACCCTACTGACTCGCCGAGTCCATATATTCAGAATCCTTCCCTTCGTGTCTCGACTCGCCGAGTCAGTCCATGACTCGCCGAGTCTACCGATTTCTGAGTCCTGACCTGTCCAACTCACCGAGTCTCCACCCGACTCATTGATTCGAGTCTCAACTCGAAGGGTTTGGGGTTTCACAACCTGACTCACTGAGTCCAAGAACAAACTCGCTGAGTACAAGGCACTCTTCATCTGACTCGACGAGCTGTTCATCCCACTCGTTGAGTTGCTCCTCACCTTCATGCTACTCACCGAGTCTACTCAAAGGACTCACCGAGTCCATTCAAATCCCCTTACATGCAGTGGGCTTTTGAGTCATGCATGGACTCCAAACTGTAGATCTACCCTTCCCAAGCCTATTCCTCACGTAAATTTGCAAACTTTACATGTAGAGAAGGAGATCTAAGCAAAATACACCCTAAACTAGGGTTTAAGGCAAAGAGTCTCCATAAACAACTCAAGGGCTGATACTTTATGCTTCTCAAGACCATAAAATGCTTAGATCTGAAGTATCAACTTCAGATCTGGCTTCTAACTCAAATGAATGACATTATGGCTAAAAAGCCCTAACAACCAAACATAGATCTAGGTGCAAAAAGGGTCCAAGAACTAGTTTATTACTTCCAAATGCTCAGAAATGAACTCACAATCCCAGATCTATAGTTCTTTCTTGCTCCTCCAAGTTCCTTCATACTTCTCCAAGCTTTAATGCACCCTTCAAGGCAACAGATGGCTCAAATAGAGGATATGGAAACTAGGGTTTGATGTTCTGGTTGAAAGAGGCAGTAAAGGAACCCTATGGGAGAGAATGAGGGGTTTAAATAGGCTTCAGGTCCCGATTTTAGGGTTTTCCTCGCACAGACCAGACTCGCCGAGTCCCCCTTGGTCGACTCGCCGAGTCGGTCACTTACTCCTCGACCCGGATCCCGCTTGGACTCGCCCTGTTGCCCTTTAAAATTAGGGTTTTCTTTCCTTTCTTGGCCTTCCAAACTTTGGGTGTTACAATTTTACAAGGACTAAAAGTGTCACTTTTATATAAAAATGGGTTTTTATGATATTCTTGGTCATAAAAGGGCCAAAAATGTAACTTTTTGCATAATGGGCCTTAAAATGATTTTTTTTCAGTTTTATTGGGCCTAAATTGTAAAAATTCCTATTTTTATGTATTAAATTATCATTTTACATAAGTTTGAGTCAAAAATATAAACTTACGGTCTTATGGGTTGAAAATGCCACATTATTTGGATTTGGGCTTAAAATGCAAAATTTCCAAAACTTGGGCCGAAAATGTCGCTTTTATGAAAAATATGATAAAAAGGTAAATTTTTATGATCATGGGCTGAAAACATCAATTTATACTTACTTAGGCCAAAAATGTCAACTCACATACAATTGGACTAAAGATGTAAACATTTCTGTTTATTGGGCCTGGATTATACATTTCATATTTATTGGGCCTCCGTGGCCCATTTACATGCTTTTGGGCCTGGGTTATTCATTACATGTTTATTAGGCCCCAGTGGCACATCTACATGCTTTTTGGACAAAAATTATACAATACATGTTTATTGGGCCTTAGTGGCCCATGTACACGCTTATTGGGCCTAAACTATGCATTACATGTTTATTGGGCCTTAGTGGTCCTTTTACATGTCTGTTGGGCTCATTCATTCATATACATAGTCGGTGGATTCTTCAAACATCAAGCATACAGGTATACATAATATAACATAATACAATATTCGTGTAAAATCAGTCAAGGATGCTAGTTAGACATGTCGGTTGACACCTCTAGAGTGTAGGATCATAACATGTAGTTATAACCAGAGTCTCCTGGAGGGAGAGCGGGAGTTTGTGTATAGATCTATACGAGGTGACACCCCACACCTGAGTTGTTCACTACAGTTATACTAGGCTAGTCTAGGGTGACAAACCTTACCATAATCAAGCTGGTGCCTGAAAATGCCACGATAGCTGAACTAGTCATAATCAAGTGTAAAGCCTGAAAACGGATCTACTAATGATCAAAACGAATAACAGATGCACAATACGAATCAATAAGCAAAAATGGAATGAAGCCAAGCTTGCATACGCTTTAAAGCAATAAAACGTCTGATACAACTTGGGAAAATACAAAGGCATCAACAACCTTAAAAGTCTGACACAACGCCCTATTTATAGACTCAACTTACAACCGCAAGGTGTTTACGGCCGTAAGGAGTTTATGTCCGTAAACACATATGGACCGTAAACTCAAGACAAAAGCAATTATCCTACACACCCACAACCACTAACTACTATGCCTAGACCAAACCATTATTCAGGGTCTTTCAATCTCCCCCTTGGTTTGGACTAGCTCGGACCCATTCCTTTCTTCACTAGCATGACATCCATCTGGCCCATCGTGTCGTTCCACATATTCTTGCTCAAAATCTCAGCAACCATTCTTGTATACGCCTTGGCTCCCTCCTCATAAACATCTTCAACAACTTTGATTTGAAAGTTGCTTAGATAATGAATATCCCACTTTCAGAACTGCAATAGGTCTCTACGATCATACAGCCGGATACATCCATTCTTAAGTTTAATGACTGCACCAGAAGTATTCTCGTCATAAACCCAACAATCCAGAGAACTGAGCGATCCATCTTGATAAACTTGAGCAATAGGAAATTGTTTCAATTGCTTCGTGGGTGGCCACATGACTACCTGCAAAGGTTTATCGGAAGACGCTTCGAAAACATCTGGATGCTCCAACATAACTGATTCAGTAGTTGGCATTGTCGGAAAACCCTTCTTTACTTGTTCATCCAAAAAGAACTTGAATTGTGAAACTTGAGAATTATTCAGAAGATTGATAAACGGAGCCTGTGATAACTCCGCAAGATCAACTTTCGTCAAAGAACTAAAGGCATGAATATCTTTATACAACTCTGAATTACCACTTTTACGAATGATAATCCAAAGTCGAAGTACATCAGGAAATACCCAAGCAGCCATACCAGATCGATCCCCAAACATGTCTCGGAATCGAACAAGCTCAAGATCAGTTACAGTTACCATAGGTCCACCCTTAGAAGTATTCCGAGTAGCATTCCTTTTGAACAACAATTTCCCCCCTTTCAGTATCATCTTCTTGACCTTTTCGAATTATTTCTTGAATATGAGGAGCCACAGGAGGATCAACTGCGATACGTTCAGCAGTGCCAGAAGACTGACCGATCGGTACGTCTACTGGAAATGCCTGCACGTGTAAATTAAATCTCTGTTCTTCTGCAGTTGCCTTATATTTATCGCCAAGATCAGCTTCCAATTTCTTTTTCAATTCAATGTAACTAGAGGTCAGCAGATTGAAATGTTCCTGTAGATCTGAAATCTGCTTACTCTTGAATTTCTTATCCTTTTTGAATTCCGCCAGTTGTCCACTAAGATAAGTTTTATCATATTGAAGCTTGGACACTTTAATACGAAGATCAATATTCTGAGCACGAAGCTCTGCTACTTGTATATCAAGTTTGATATTCTTCTGGCTGAGCACTGAGACTTCCTTTTGTAAACTAGCACGTGAAGGATTTTCATCTTGAGCACCCCCTTCATCTATAGAAATGCCCTTTCCTCGAGGACTAGGTGAAAAGAGTTGTTCTTCTGCCATGTGTAAGGCCAGCCTCTCAGAAGCAGCATCCATATTAAATCGTGGAACTGAAAAACCAGGCGGTGCTGAAGAACCGACGACATCAAAAACTGAACTAGGTCCAGTTGAAAACATTTTCGTGGCAGAAGGTCGCGTAGTGGTAGCAGTAATTGGCGGGGTAGGAAGACCACTAACCAAACTAGCAATTTGTTCGGACTGTCTTGTTTCAAGTCTTCGTCTCTTTGACTGAGGTTGGTCAGCTTGTGGAGGAAACATACTTACAAATGGTTATGTAGTAGGAGAAATAGACACGCGAGGGGAACATCCCACAACTATCTCCATAGGAATTGAAGTTGACACCATCTGTTTAGAAGTTGGAGTTTGCGTCTCAAGATTTTCGCTTGACTTCCCTGTCTCAGTTGTTGGCAAAACAACATCATCAACATTTTGAAAGATTGTGTCAAGATTTTCATTAGACACAATGTTGGAACTACTGGCCAAGGAAGCCACTATATCAGCATTATCAAAGCCTGGCAGGTCAAGATCCTCAAAAGAATCATTTCTCTCATCACCAGTAACCATTTCACCTCCAGCTTGTCTCTCACTCGACTCTTGTTCACGATCAGAAGCATTTTGGGCTTTTGGAGTTGGTGAATCTTCCTTTTCTGTTTCTTCGTCTTCAGACACATCTATTACAATATTTGCTGGAGTTGATCCTTCAGTAGATGTCTTCTCAGAAGAAGTCTGTTCAGACGATTCATACGACACCGGCGGCTCATCTAATTCCGTAAACTTGCCAAAATTTTCTAATGGTTAAAGCCCTTGAAAAACGAATTTTCCTCTTCTGTTTTGTTTGATGAGTCCCACGGTGTGTGGACCTAAAGACTTCATATCCAGTGTATCACCCGTCTTTCTCACCTCCGGAAACTGTATGTTGATGGACATTTGAATGAAACGGGGATATTGCAGAAAAGTATCCCTTGTAGAAGCTCTGATGTTTATTACGAATTTCTCAAGAATAAACTTCGAGAAATTGAAATGAAATCCCGCAGCCAGAGATACCAACGCACCAGTTGTGCGTTGAGAGATCTCATCTGCTCCAGATCTTCTACCTGAGACGCAGCATACGAATACATGAGCTAAGAATCTCCAATATGGATGGAGCAGCTTTTTCAAAGTTGTAGGATATGTTCCCTCGTAACTCATCCTTCGTAGTATCCTTTGAACATCTTCGATACCAATTTCTGTCGGAGAGTTAGTTTGATCATCAATTAATAACGCCTCACAAACAAAGCTTTCATTGATCACAATGTCTCGACCTTGCACCTTTGCCGTAACTGTGAACTTGCTGTCGTTATCCATATGCGACCTGGCAGTCGCCCAAATTCACGTATAAGATTCTGATAAAGCACCGGGTTGACGGTTATTGCTGATGCTATACATCATTCACGTAGTCTGTGAATCATTGATCGCATGTCTGAATGTATGACCGGTGGATCCGCAAGAATAATCGCCAGGTTGTGCATTTCCGCAAATCTGAGATTCACCATTGTCTGCACTCAAATACAAGTGTAAGAAACCATCACCAAAAATAAAATTTATTTTGACCAAAAAAAATATTATAATAAAAAAATATGATCAAAATAAAAATTTATTTATCAACACATTTGAGAATTTACTGCTATCAAACCCAAGAAAATCGTGACACAATATAATTGAAAAAAAAAACAGATCAAAAATTAGTTCTTGGGCCGTAAACTGGAGTTTATGGCCTAAAGATCTTTTCGAAAAATTGATACACGATGATCCCTGAATTATCTCAATCACATATGGGCAGTAAACACGTGGATTCATGGGCCGTAAACATGGGGTTTACGGCCTATGAATATGAGCTACGATTAATTCCCAAAAATCGACTATTTGCTTTGAGTTAACAACTGATATTTACATATTCGTGAATGTAAAGACAAATAGCACCACAATAAAATAAAATCAAGTCGAAAACTTCAAGTTTCGGAGTTTATGGCCTATGCTTACGGCCATAAACACCGCGAATCGGTTTTTCTAATTTTTACACACAATGATACGGTGAAATGTGAAACAAAATACATATCTGTGATCTACAAGACATTACCTTTAAGATGATGTATTCGTTTTTCCGAAAATCGAAAAAAAAATCCAGGGAGTCCTGGGAGTGAGTTTGCGGCCAGAAACTCGTGAATGAGGAGATTCTGGCAGTGAACTCCCTTTTTACCTTTTTACCTTCCCTTACTTTCTTACCTGTTAACTACCCAGTATATCCAACTTCCACCAATTAAATTAAATTAAAAAAAAAACTTTTTGAGGATTAATTTAATTTCGAAAATAAAATAAAATAAAACTTAAAAAAAATAAAACTAACACACCACAACTTAAATGCTAGAAAAATAAAAACAAGGCAAAATAAAATAAAACTCAGTTAAAACAAACCAGTAAAAAGTAAAAATAAAATAAAATAAAATATGAAATTGCACACCAAAAAATAAAATAAAATAAAATAAAATAAAAAATAAAAAATAAAATTTTAGGAAAAACTTTAACTACTATTTCTTTTGTGATGCTTGGATCAAAGTTATTGGACAATCTTATTTACTTCTCGATACCCTCATTTTCACATCTCCGTCTGATTGATTGCCAGTATTGTGGTCCACTTAAACACAAAAAACTTTTGACAGATTTGGACATTTTACCAATGACAAGATTCAGACATGTATCTAATTATGAATATCTATCACTATGATAAATTCTAAATCTTGAATAAATTTATCCTATGACCAATTAACTGACTACAACCAGGGATATTGTTGTCCACCTAAATCGAGCAGCGAGATCTACAGACAACCTGTATATGTTCAATTTTAAGTGTATCAGAACGTGTTTCCCGCTTCCTGATATGCTCCAGCCTTCAAGAACTTCCAGAGTACTCCTTACACCGGGTGAGCAGACAATCATTCAGAGAGAAGATAGATTCAAAATTCACTAACTTATTACTTTAGAGGGATTGAGAAGTAGAAAGTTGCATATGCTATGTCACGCAAAGGAGACAACATATGGCTAACAGATAGGAGAAGTTTCACAGATATCACATGCAGAGAAGAGAATTGCATATGCTGTAATCTAGGTCGGATCTCTTCCAATCACGCAAAGGGTGCAGCATATGACTAACAGTAGCAAAGAAAAGAAAATGATATTCTACAGACCTAACTTATCAGAATTTACCAATCGCCCCATCCAACCGGAATTAAGGATAGAATCCGCACATCGAGGAAAAGTGACTCCACGGTTCCAGATACGGGTTATTTAGTGTGACCGATAGATTCCCATGTATATCTCCTTGCTCAACCTATCCGAGCATCGTGACATCAGGTTAAACGGATCTAACTAGGTCAAAGTTTGTCAAGTCCTTAAATTCATTAGGTTCAACTTTTCCTAGTCAAGTCCATTTAAAATCTTTCGTGCCTACCAGTACATCGAGTACAGATTGTAGACGATTCAACCTGGCTACAATATGTCGATTTAGATTGCCCGTTATCACTAGATAATTTCATTTCCCATCACAATACTTACAACCGAAGTTGTCAACTGAAATGCTAAACAAAAACAAAAAATATTTTTGGAGTATTCATATTTTCTAAAGAAATGCTAAACATAAATGACACTATTTTTGGATTTTATCAATCTTTAATTTTTTTTGTTGTTTTTGGATTTTTATTTCTCCCCCTAAATTTGTGCATGGGTGAGAATACCAAACAAAACAATGTGCAAATTTAAACTAACCTAACAAAAATTCTAAATATAGAAAAACAACTTAATCCTCAAAACGTATCATTTTCAGAAATCCCACAAGCACATCGAAGCGAGCTTTGTTAAAAGGTTTTGTGAACAAGTCCGCCACATTGTTATCAGTGTGGACCTGTTTTATTCGAATTAAGGAACGTTCATAACAATCTCTGATAAAGTGAATTTTAATATCGATGTGCTTGGTTTTAGAATGTTGGACTGGGTTCCTAGCAATTTGTATGGCAAATTCATTATCACAATAGATAAGGGTTTCTAAGTAATTCAAACCGTAGTCCAACAGCTGATGTTGGATCCAGATAACTTGAGAACAACAAGTTGATGCAGCTACATATTCCGCCTCTACTGTCGAAGTCGAGACAGTGTGCTGCTTCTTACATTGCCATGAAACTAATCTGTCACCTAGGTATTGACATCCTCCTGAAGTTGATTTCCTGTCAAGCTCAAAACCTCCATAATTATTGTCAGTAAAAGCATAAAGATCAAATTCAGAATTCTTCGGATACCAAAGACCCAATTTAGGGCTTCCTTTGATATATCGAAAAATTCTTTTAACGGCAATAAGATGAGAGAGTTTAGGATTAGCCTGATAACGTGCGGATTGACAAACTGCAAACATAATGTCTGGTCGACTTGCAGTAAGATACATCAGGGATCCGATCATCGATCGATAGAGAGTTTGATCTACAGGTTCGCCTTCTGGATCTGGAGTCAGGAGAGGTCGTTCAGCCATCGGTGTAGAAGCAGATTTAGCATCGTGAAGTGAGAACTTCTCAAGAATGTCCTCCACATACTTGGCCTGATGTAGTAGGATTCCGGTTGAATTTTTTTTTTAACCTGAAGCCCCAAAAACATGGTCATTTCTCCCAAATAGCTCATTTCAAATCTTTTCTTCATTACACTTTCGAACTCCTTGCAAAGCTGTTGGCCAGTTGATCCAAAGATTATGTCGTCGACGTATATTTGAACAAGTATCTGGTCCTTGTCGACATGCTTTATGAACAATGTTTGATCGATAGTACCGCAAGTGTAACCATGTTCGAGCAAATGTTTTGTTAGAGTTGCATACCATGCTCTAGGAGCTTGATGCAGCCCATACAACGCTTTTTCCAACTTGTAAACATGATTAGGAAACTTCAGGTCGACAAACCCTGGAGGTTGATCAACGTAGATTTCTTCCTTCACCTTGCCATACAAGAAGGCAGTCTTGACATCCATTTGAAAAACAGTGAAATTCATATATGAAGCATATGCTAGGAAGATACGAATTGCCTCCAAGTGAGCTACGGGAGCATATACTTCAGTGTAGTCAAGACCCTCGACTTGTCGAAACCCACGAACTACCAGTCTAGCTTTGTTTTCCACAGTAACCCCTGAATCGTCCTGCTTGTTACGATATAACCACCGTGTGTCAAGAGGCTTCTTGCACTTTGGTAACT